AGAGCGTCCGCCCGGAGAGCGGAAGGTCCGGGGTTCGATCCCCGGCCGCGTCATACCAAAAGACGTAAAAAGATGGTACTTGTTGTTACCCTGTCTGGCGCTCGGCATAAGGGGCTAAAACAAGGTATGGTCGGCTCGGAGTCAGTATACTGTGTCTGAGTGGGGTATTCATGTTAAACTGCGGCATGGTATCTCAGTGAGCTAGCACTATAAATCGGCATCAGTCCGGACTAGTACAAGCAGCCACCCACACGCACACACACACACACACACACACACACACGTGCATGCACGTCGCTATATAAGTGCAATAATCTTGGACGCGACGTTAAAGCCATTTTCAATTGAAAATCAAACATATGATAAAATCGGTATAGCTTCGTTCGCTCCTCAGTTTATAACTGTTTGTTTGTTTGTTGTTTAGCGCCGCACTCTATTCCAAGTATATGACGGCGGTCTGTAAATAATCAAGTCTGGACCAGACAATCCAGTGATTGACATTATGAGCATCGATTCTCGCAATTGGGATCAATGACATGCATCAACCAAGTCAGCGAGCCCGACCACCCGATCCCGTTAGTCGCCTTTTACGACAAGAAACTGTTTATTAACAGTCATTTCTCCCGAAGGAGCAGGTGTTGGATAATATAAAATATATATTTCTGGAAGAAAAAAAACGACGTAAAATGTGTTCATTTATCTCTCAGACACAGCCATCTTTAAGGAATAATATGAAACCAAAGTGTCATGATACCATATCTTCAATTTCAAATTCGTTATAAATCGGTTGTTTGAACAAGGAATTACAATCTGGTTATTCAACGATGCCCGATAATGGGACTGAATATTCCCTATGCTATAAAATAAATCGAAACGTGGAACATTAATCATAAAATCATACTAAAAATAAACCCCATTTGCAAGAATCATGCTGAATGTGTGCTTTAGGTGGTAATTTGCGGCATTAATAATTCCCAATCAAAAATGTATTTTTTCAGTACGGATCCAATATTAGAGACGACGACATCTTAACACCCTCAATGAACTGCTATTGATAGAGGATCATCGTAACGAGTTTTACCCAAACACATCCCAAACCTCTGCAACATCTGGAAATTATTCATAGAAGTCGAAACACGCGGCTATAGCAATTTTGAAGAATGAAATACATTAGCGGAATAAACAATAGTGACTTGACGCAATGAAGGCCATTAGAACACTGTTTGTCAAACATTATTGAATAACTAATATGGTTGAGTTGTCGTTTTAGCGTTTGTCCCCAAGCGATAACATGTCAGTTCGAATCCTTCAAGGGTCTCCCTGGACTGATCACGCTATCAGATCACCATCCAAACTGATTGGCAATGTTGGTAGTGATGAATATATGTATAAATATTTGAAAAGATCCTTAAAATAAACTCCCTAGAAAGTCAAGGCTGTTGTTATCTATCGGCCCCTTTAGCCCCTAGCTATCAGCCCTAGCTTCACATTAGGTACGACACTCATTTTGGGTGATTATTTTGACAAGGCATTAGGAACGCAACTCATTGGCATTGGTACGTAGTTTGACACGGGGACATCCATTAACAGGTTGTCAGCTGCAGAGAGAGAGAGAGAGAGAGAGATTGTAGGACATCTGCCAGGTTTGTGTGCAAGTGACAGTGTAAATGAGACTATTTCTACTCCAGCGCTCAATCTGAGATGTCAGAAATGAATGCTGACTTACATGTGTCTGAAAAGTATTATTGTGTAATAAATATGGATGGTGATATGATAGAATCTCATTACAGACTCGGTCGACTTGATGCTCCGCTACAGTATTGGGTACACGGTATCATCACTTGGAGAACCTCCTCCAGAGTTGCATCTAACGTCTGGAGCATCATTACTCCCGCAATTCTGTTTCGGAGTCCTGTTTTGGTTCTGTTTGTTGGTTGTGTAACGACACTCAGGATTCCAGTTAAAAATCGGTGACTTTGAAGTAATCGAGTCATGGTCAGACAAACCAGTGATTGATATTATGAGCAACACCGATTCTGACCATCCGCTTCATTTAGTGGCGTGTGTGAAACCAGCTCCGGATATAGCGAATTATCACTTTTACGAGTATTACTCTCCGGCTATGGGAATTATTTCACGAATATTTGAGTAGTAATTACGAATATATACTTCCGGTTTGTCGAGTATGACTTCTGGGTTATTACAAGTATATATTCCCTGTTATTACGAGTATTTCCCCAGGTTATGTAGAGTTAATATTCCCGCTTTTACGAGTATCTGTTCAAGGCCATTATTATAATTCAAACAAAGTATTCATAGTATTAAGGAATAGTATATCTTGGTTATTACGAGTACAAATTGTCGGTTATTACGAGTATTTATTCCCTGTTATTACGATCCTTTATTTCCTATCATTTCGAGTATTTCTTCCCCGCTTTCATGTTATTATGACAATACATTAATATTTCTTACAAGTATTGACACTTGCTTATTTAGATCTTAATTCATGGTTATTGCGAGTATATTATCCCTGTTATTACATTTGTTTGTTTGTTGTTTAACGCCACACACAGCAATATTCCACCTATATGATGGTGGTGTGTAAATAATCGAGTCTGGAACAGACAATCCAGTGATTAACATCATGAGCAACGATCCAAGCAAATGGGATCGATGACATGCATGAACCAAGTCAGCGAGCACGACCAACAGATCCCGATAGTCGCCTTATACGACAAGAAACTGTTTATTAAACAGTCATTTCTCCCGAAGGAGCAGGTGTTGGATAATATAAAATATATATTTCTGGAAGAAAAAAAACGACGTAAAATGTGTTCATTTATCTCTCAGACACAGCCATCTTTAAGGAATAATATGAAACCAAAGTGTCATGATACCATATCTTCAATTTCAAATTCGTTATAAATCGGTTCTTGGAACAAGGAATTACAATCTGGTTATTCAACGATGCCCGATAATGGGACTGAATATTCCCTATGCTATAAAATAAATCGAAACGTGGAACATTAATCATAAAATCATACTAAAAATAAACCCCATTTGCAAGAATCATGCTGAATGTGTGCTTTAGGTGGTAATTTGCGGCATTAATAATTCCCAATTAAAGATGTATTTTTTTTCAGTACGGATCCAATATTAGAGACAACGACATCTTAACACCCTCAATGAACTGCTATTGATAGAGGATCATCGTAACGAGTTTTACCCAAACACTTTCCCAACCTCTGGAACATCTGGAAATTATTCATAGAAGTCGAAACACGCGGCTATTGCAATTTTGAAGAATGAAATACATTAGCGGAATAAACAATAGTGACTTGACGCAATGAAGGCCATTAGAACACTGTTTGTCAAACATTATTGAATAACTAATATGGTTGAGTTGTCGTTTTAGCGTTTGTCCCCAAGCGATAACATGTCAGTTCGAATCCTTCAAGGGTCTCCCTGGACTGATCACGCTATCAGATCACCATCCAAACTGATTGGCAATGTTGGTAGTGATGAATATATGTATAAATATTTGAAAAGATCCTTAAAATAAACTCCCTAGAAAGTCAGGGTTGTTGTTATCTCTCGGTCCTTTAGCCCCTAGTTATCAACGCTAGCTTCACACTAGGTACGACACTCATTTTGGGTGATTATTTTGACAAGGCATTGGTACGTAGTTTGACATGGGGACATCCATTAACAGGTTGTCAGCTGCACAGAGAGAGATTGTAGGCTATCTGCCAGGTTTGTGTGCAAGTGACAGTGTAAATGAGACTATTTCTACTCCAGCGCTCAATCTGAGATGTCAGAAATGAATGCTGACTTACATGTGTCTGAAGAGTATTATTGTGTAATAAATATGGATGGTGATGTGATAGAATCTCATTACAGACTCGGTCGACTTGATGCTCCGCTACAGTATTGGGTACACGTTATCATCACTTGGAGAACCTCCTCCAGAGTTGCCTCTTACGTCTGGAGCATCATTACTCCCGCAATTGTGTTTGGGAGTCCTTTTTTGGTTCTGTTTGTTGGTTGTGTAACGACACTCAGGATTCCTGTTATATATCGGTGACTTTGAAGTAATCGAGTCAAGGTCAGACAAACCAGTGATTTATATTATGAGCAACACCGATTCTGACCATCCACTTCATACAGTGACGTTTGTGAAACCAGCTCCGGATATAGCGAATTATCACTTTTACGAGTATTACTCTCCGGCTATGGGTATTATTTCACGAATATTTGAGTAGTAATTACGAATATATACTTCCGGTTTGTCGAGTATGACGTCCGGTTTATTACCAGTATATATTCCCTGTTATTACGAGTATTTCTCCAGGTTATGTAGAGTTAATATTTCCGCTTTTACGAGTATCTATTCAAGGCCATTATTATAATTCAAACAAAGTATTCATAGTATTAAGGAATAGTATATCTTGGTTATTACGAGTACAAATTGTCGGTTATTACGAGTATTTATTCCCTGTTATTACGATCCTTTATTTCCCCTCATTTCGAATATCACCGCCTTGTTATTTGGAGTATTTCGTCCCCGCTATCATGTTATTATGACAATTTATTAATATTTCTTACGAGTATTTGGCACATGCTTATTTAGATTTTAATTCGTGGTTATTACGAGTATATTATACCTGTTATTACATTTGTTTGTTTGTTTGTTGTTTAACGCCACACTCAGAAATATTCCACCTGTATGATGGCGGTCTGTAAAAAATCGAGTCTGGACCAGACAATCCCATGACTAACGTCCCGTTGGTCGCCTCTTACGGCCAGCATAGTCGCCTCTTACGGCAAGCATTGGTTGCTGAAGACCTATTCTACTCCGGATCTTCACGGGTCTGTTATTACAGCGACAACACCCGTTACTTTCCACATGAAATGCAACTGCCGGAGAAAACTAGCTTTTTTGAGTTATTTTCTGACTTGAGTCATCAGAAAGTTTGACTGTAATAACGTGTTGTGCTCACCAAGTCCAGGATCTGGGTCAAGGTCAAACCGAGGCCGATGTCCACTGCGTCAGCGGCGCTGTAAACAGGTCTCACTGAAGTCTCGTACTCATCCGTGAGTTCTCGCATTAACCGCTGTTCGTTGGACATTTTCCTCGGTTCTGGGAAATAATCATCCTGCCCTGAAACGAGATAACACCGTACTAGAGGGGCACACGGGGCACACGGGGCACAAGGGGCACAGGGGGCATTCACTGGCAGCCCCACATTCGATGTCTGAGGTGAGGTGAAATCGGGTTTAACGTCGCGTCCAAGATTATTGCACTTATATAGCGACGTGCATGTACGTGTGTGTGTGTGGCTGCTTGTACTAGTCCAGGCTGATGCCGATTTATAGTGTTAGCTCACTGGGATACCATGCCGCAGTTTAACATGAATACCCTACTCAGACACAGTACACTGACTCCAAACCGATCAGTCCTTGTTTTAGCCCTTTAATTCTGAGCGCCAGATATAGTAACAACAACTACCATCTTTTAACGTCTTTTGGTATGAGGCGGTCGGGGATCGAACCCCGAACCTTCCGCACTCCGGGCGAACGCTCTACCACTAGACCACGGAGGCGGTCCACATTTATTGAGCAAAATGTGTTAACATGCTGAAAACAAATTTACGTCCCTAGTTCCATGACTAAAACGCTTTTAGTGTTTATGTTTTTATTCTAAAACATGAACCAATACGTTTTCTGAATGTGTATATAGATATGTGACCGACAGTTAGGGTATAAGAGAGAGAATTTATGGGTGTCAAGTTCTTTAGTCTGAGGAACACAGTAAACTACGGTTATAACGAACACGCTTATAACGAAGTGACGGATATAACGAACTCACTTTGTGGTCCCGACTACTTGCTGTAGTCATGCTGTATATGTACTTATAACGAACTACGGTTATAACGAACTAAAATGAGTAGTCTCTTTGAGTTCGTTATAACCGTAGTTTACTGTATATGCTTACTCCATCATCAGGTTCATTCACCCGGTGACGGAGTAGGTAAAAAGGGAAATGTCGGTGGTACGATCCACTAGCCGCGTCTTATCAAAAGAGGTTAAAATATGGGACTTGCTGTTACCCTGCCTGGCATTCGGCATGAAGGGCATAGAACAAGGACTGGTCGGCTCGGAGTCAGACACAATTCCGGACTAGTACCATCAGCCACACACTAACATGCATGCACGTCGCTATATTAGTGCAATAATTGTGAATGCGGCATTAAACTCATTTCACCTTACTTGTTAGTGTGAATATTGACTGAAAAACTTATGCTACCTTGAACCGAACATGGCTCCCACAGATTATGTGCACCACAACTGATCACGATGTAATGCTTGTCCTTTCGTGACGCAGATATGTCCTAAGTTTGTGTGTTATAATGTTCTTGTGTAAAGTGACTCAATCAATAATAATAATAATAATAATAATGATAATAATAATAAAAATTAAAAATAGTGATACAAAATGATGATGATGATGATAATGATGATGATGATGATGATGATGCTAAAAGGGTAACAGCCACATAAACACCTCATCCTTTATGGGTACACTCAAGACCCCTTGAAGTTAGTACTAACTGTCGACATCAAAGAAGCTGATATTGTTGCAAGTAACAGAGGAACTGCAGGAGTGAGCGAGTGTTATATGCTATTCATTCAGCACCATGGTCCGGCACACTGTACCCTTAGGGGGAATCGTACCCGGGCAATCGCCGTGATATAGCGAACGCTGTTACCACAAGGTTACCCAACCCTGCGGAACTGAAAGATGATCACAGTCCTAATTTTGTTTTGTTTGTTTGTTTGTTGTTTAACGACGCACTCAGCGATATTCCAGCTATATGAAGGCGGTCTGTAAATAATCGAGTGTGGACCAGACAATCCAGTGATTGACATCATGAGCATGGATTCATGCAATTGAGATCGATGACATGCATCAACCAAGTGAGCGAGCCAGACCACCCGATCCCGTTAGTCACCTCTTACGACAAGCATAGTCGCCTTGTACGGCAGGCATGGGTGTCTGAAGACCTAATCTAACACGGATCTTCACGGGTCCTAATTATAAAACCGTATCTGAAAACATACATTCTGAAGATGCTATTTTGCTTCTTTGTTTCGTTTGCGCTCACAGGAATTGGTATAAAAATGATTTCGTGTCTGAACAAACTCAATCTTTTATGTCTTTATATGTCGCGCATGAAACAGAAAAGTCCACGCAGTTCAAAGCTCATCTAAACGTGACCCCGTGTCGGTGGTTTCATACACCGTGGACCAAGAATGTATCCACACACCAAAAATTTTGATTCTGTGACTGATAGTTTTTGAGATGCACGAATGGACTCCGTGGAGGAATAACCGCCAGTGTGCCATAAATGTCCGAAATTCGGCTCGGAACACCAGGCTCTCGTCAAAGGTGTTGCTCATGGTGTCAATCACTGGTTTGTCTTGTCCAGAGTGGACTTTTCGCGGAGTCAAAGAACACTGGTATACAAGTATTATACACGTATGTCGACCCTGGTACGGTGTTTGAAAACGGGACAACATCCTAGACCACCAATCAGATTCTGCTGAGTGTTTCACTTAGGGTTTTCTATTAGTGAGTTAGTTGAGTTTAGCGCCGCCTTGGAAGTACTACAGTAACGTTAAAGCGTCACGCGGGAGAAATTCAGGTCTTAGACATCTAAAACCTTTGTGAAACTAACGAGAACTAACCGAGGAGCAGCGGATCTGGGCGCGAACAAGGGAGGCAACTCCGCACAGCTGTGTCTTGCAATTGAATTGGGTATACTAGAATAAGATATCGATCACAATTATTGCGTTGTGTGATTCCACGTACTGGGAAATCGCTTACAGAGCTTATACTCGAACCTTTCAAAAACCCGGCCACCAGTCGATAGATTTCCACTGAATGACAAATTTACACTCTCTAAATTTGCATGTGTAGTGGAGCATTCAATCAATTTTGAAAATCATCAAAAATTACCCAGACGATTTTCAGTTCATTTGTCGTATAAGTCAAAGTTGATATTTAAATTATCGATAATCAGGTTGGGTATTGGAACGTGAAATATAGAATAAAAACCGTCGATGAAAAACCCCGTCTCCTTCGGGGGCTTAACCCGCATCGGCTTGGCACATTTGTTATCTCATGAATACATAACGCTCCAATTGATTCTCTCTTAATCTTACAGCAGGTGTTGCCAAATAGAAAACTCGACGGGGAATGTGTTAAAGTCATCTGCAGCCACGACAGGGCCGACATATGGATTTCAGCTTTTTTATCACTCAATGCGACGTGTGAATACAGCTGCTCGCAAGGCGAGGAAGCAATTGAAAGGGAAGTCAAAAGTATTGCAATGAAACAGTCACAAGCCATGTCTTAAGATAATCGATTTCGTTTTCGTTAAAATTGCGTTTCGTTAGAATCTTCATACAAGATACGATTTATTAAATAAACCCCGAACAAATGGCTAAACTGCCGGGCAAAAGAAAGAATACACCCATGTTTGATGGTGGTTTAAAATGAAACAAAATTTAATAATAAACGGTCATTCGATGGTGAAATACTTGTTTGTTGTTTAACGCCGCACTAAGCAATATTCCAGCTACATGATTGCGGTCTGTAAATAATCGAGTCTGGAGCAGACAATCCAGTGATTGACATCATGAGCATCCATCCACGCAATTGGGAAGCGATGACATGCATCAACCAAGTCAGCAAGCCTTGACCACCCGATCCCGTTAGTCGCCTCTTAGGACAAGCATAGTCGCCTTTTACGGAAAGCATGGGTTGCTGAAGACCTATTCTACCCCGGATCTTCACGGGTCGAAATAACATAGTTGTGTTTTAGACCTTTAGTTTGCAGTGTTTCGGCGACTGCTTTCACCCATGAAACGTTTTGGGGCTTTCACACAGAATGGCGACCTTTCCGCCTCCCGTGTGCGACCATACAATTTGCCAGGGCGTCGTTGGAGGCTCAAAGGAGGGAGAATGGTTGCCTAGGTCGTTCCAAGGTGGTACACAGGAGGTTTAGATATCGCCATGGACGCCATGGTCGCCGTCGAGTTTTGAACAGTTTCAAAACAGTCGCACAAAGGTCGCCGAGGAGGTTGGTTGCTCAAAGGTGGCTCAAAGGAGGCAGAAGGGAGGCACAAGCGTTGCCGTTGTTGCAGAATGAAGGCACTGTCGTCGCCAGGTAACAGATTCGTTCTGCTGAAATATTTCCCCGTCAATCTGGGCGATGCTTCTGCCTCCCTTGTGCCTCCTTTGGCAACAGCGTGCATTGAACGATGAGTGTGGTGACCGCTGTGTTACCATTCGGCGACCATGGCAACACTTGAGACACCCTGGCAATGCTTCTGCCTCTTTTCTTCCTCCTTTGAGCTACCTGTAGTGCCTCCTCAGCCTGCCTATAAATAGAGGGCTTGCACGCATTGGGCTAACTGAACTGCCCATTGTACGCATTGGGCTAACTGTACTGCCCGTTGTACGCATTGGGCTAACTGTACTGCCCATTGTACGCATTGGGCTAACTGTACTGCCCATTGTACGCATTTGGCTAACTGTACTGCCCGTTGTACGCATTGGGCTAACTGTACTGCCCATTGTACGCATTGGGCTCACTGTACTGCCCATTGTACGCATTGGGCTCACTGTACTGCCCATTGTACGCATTGGGCTAACTGTACTGCCCATTGTACGCATTGGGCTAACTGTACTGCCCATTGTACGCATTGGGCTAACTGTACTGCCCATTGTGCGCATTGGGCTAACTGTACTGCCCATTGTACGCATTGGGCTAACTGTACTGCCCGTTGTACGCATTGGGCTAACTGTACTGCCCATTGTACGCATTGGGCTAACTGTACTGCCCATTGTACGCATTGGGCTAACTGTACTGCCCATTGTACGCATTGGGCTAACTGTACTGCCCATTGTACGCATTGGGCTAACTGTACTGCCCATTGTGCGCATTGGGCTAACTGTACTGCCCATTGTACGCATTGGGCTAACTGTACTGCCCGTTGTACGCATTGGGCTAACTGTACTGCCCGTTGTACGCATTGGGCTAACTGTACTGTCCATTGTACGCATTGGGCTAACTGTACTGTCAATTGTACGCA